AAAATAAACAAATTTTTAATAAAATTAAATTAAATAAAAATTTTTTACAGAGAGGTGCGATGCAGTAGGTGTTTTATAAAATGAAGAGATTGGTTGAATAAATCTAGGGTAGAATAAGTGTTGTTAACATTAATAATCATTTTATTAATACCTGAGTGGTATGTAAAAGCAGTTTTATGTTGTTGTATACAAAGAAAGCTGTATCGTCTTAAATGAAAATGTTGGAACATTGACTGAGAATTTTTCTCATATATCAGAACAATTTATAAGTCCATTGAGCATTTTATAAACAAAAAGAATATCAGAAATTCCTCTTCATTTCTCTTTTGTATCTTTACAAAACAAGATCTGATTTGCACGAGATATTCTAGGCTGAGACAACAGGTGTATATCTTTCCAGCTGTTGCAAGCCAAATCCAAGGGTTGGGAAAATAAAATTCGCCTGGAATCCATTTAAATCCATAAATATAAAATTTCGTTTAAAACCTGGAATTGCAATCCATAAATTTTTATCGCTGCTGTCGCACGTTTAAATAATTTTGACAATTAATTGCGTTTCCCATTATACTGAAACAGAAGTTAACAACGTTGATTTAAATTCTTTTATCTTTATTCGATTTTTGTGTTCAATCCTATTCACGATTGTGCCTACGAAAGAGACTTTATCCACAAAAAAAAACCCACTCTCGCTCCTCCATCCATCTTATACCAACCGACCCCCATATTCACGAAAACATCCATCTCTCCTCACGGAATAAAATCCAATTTTACCGGCTATTACATCGAACTATTATCCACTCTCGAAAAAATCCTATTCAACCGCCGCCACTTAATATCCCTGGTCCTCGTTATTCCCTACAGTGCATTATAGAAAGCCATGAACGGCCACTCGAAACCGTATTTCGAGCGTGTGTCGACAATTTCCATCGATCAATTACTGCGGTCTTATCCACACGAGCATGGCTCCGCGCGAGGATGCCTCGAATTTCGTCGAAAAGCTGGTAAAAATATGAAAACATCTTTAGATTTGTAGAAAAATTGGTGTCGGATTTTGGCACTTGCTGATTCGTCAGACTAATTCGTCAGAAACCTGGTATCTTTAGATTTTCTTTAGATATTTGGATCTTCAAGTCACATGGAGTATACACATACAACTTGTTTACTGACAACAGCTTTGCAATTTTCTAGGAGACTGAATTGCAGATAGTTTTATAATTATGAAAAAGTAATTGCTTCTTGGAAACTCTTTCAGCAAACAGAAATTTATATTATGGAATATACATGATATCGATGATGTTTCATGCTGTAAGAATAAAGGATAAGTTTGCAACACGATTAATCTATCTTAATTTATATATCAGTGCATGCGTAGATCTTAACTTGGAATCGTTTTCCAAAGATTTTCTTCTGATATTTCTCATGCTCAAAAAGTAGCAAAAATACTTAACATAAATGCATCAAGAAAATTTATATTCTAAAAGCATAAATATAAATATAATTTGTAAAGGTTTTATAAATTGTTATACTTACTGTTAATAACAAATTAAAATTGTTAATAACAAATTTCTCGCAACGTATATTTATAATAAAAGTGAAAAAATTAATAAATCATTGATTATTACTTAAGCTTGTAATGCACTTATGTTAAAAAGGTACCTGTAATTTGCAAAAAATTTATGAATTATTACACAAATTGTTAATAACAAATTAATATTGTTAATGATAAATTGTTCACAGCGTAAATTTATAATAACAGTGAAAAAATTAATAAATTATCAGCTATTACTTGAAGTCATAATGTATACTTGTGTTAAAATATACCTACAATTCACAAAAAGTTTATAAATTATTGTACTGATTGTTGATAAGAAATTAATATTGCTACTAACAAATTGTTCGCAACGTATATTTATAATAACATTGAAAAAATTAATAAATTATTGGCTATAAGAGCAGAAAATTAATAATTAATAAAATCGGCAGAGTCCGAAAATTTGCGATTGGGGTGGGGGGCTCGGCCGATCGGAGGCTATATAAGGGGCGACGCGAGGCAGTGGAACTCATTTGTCGGTTCGACTTCGGAAGTGACACGTTAAAATTTGTGCGCGAGGGGTGGGGGTCGAAATGTGGTTGGGACTAGCCACCCCATCCACATCCCACCCCATTAAACAATTTACTAATAATTTTTTTTATTTTCAGCTATTAATTATTTTTTTTTATTTCAGATGTTAGTTTTCGTTTGTATTTATTTATATTTGGACATTCGAATATTTCGTATAATATTCGAATGTTTCGTTGTTGGTTTAGTTGTGTGTCATTGTTAAGTTTCTTATATCTCATCGTTGGGTTGTTGATATCTTATTATTGGGTTGTTTATGTCTCATCGTTGGGTTCTTAATAATTATTTTCTTTTCAGGTCTAATTTATTATTTTTTCAGGGTTTAATATTTTTTCTTTTCAATATATCTTATTATTGGGTTGTTTATGTCTCATCGTTGGGTTCTTAATAATTATTTTCTTTTCATGTCTAATTTATTATTTTTTCAGGGTTTAATATTTTTTCTTTTCAGGACTTAATTATTTTTCTTTTTTCAGATTTTATTTTTTCTTTTCTGTCGATATTTACTTGAAAATTCGAATATTTCGTGTAATATTCGAATATTTCGTTGTTGGTTTAGTTTTGTGTCATTGTTAGGTTTCTATTGTCTCATCGTTGGGTTGTTCTATCTATTTGGTTTATCATTGTGGTTCATATTCGTTTCTCTTTTGTTGTCTTTCCTCTTACTAATCCGTTTCATTTCAGGTTTATATATATATATTTTTTCCAGGTTTATACATATTTTCTTTTTAGGTTTTCAAATTTTTTTAGATTTCATTCGGACCTAAGGGGCCTGGTGTTAGACCTAAGTAGTTCTAAGATAGATACCTAGACTAAGACTCATGTGCGCGCTGTCTATACAAAGGTAAACTATATAATTTGGAGCGAATATATACATTTCATATTTTCCTAGCTTCATCCCTCCCGTTTACCAAATAGAACATAATTGTTCTCGTGGTAATCGCGATTGTTCTTAAGTACGGACTAGCCTACGCGACGTACTCTCGTGCACTCGACAACTTCTCGTCTCATAAGTCATCCTCACGATTTGTCTCCGACACCCACTTCCAGCCACTGTCAATCTCGTCATGCATCGGGTTCCAGGGTGGCCCTCGGGTCTCTGTTTCTTCTGGACTCGATGCGGGGGTCCGGCACCCTGGTCGTACGCGACTGGGGCATGGGCCTGCAGCTGGACGGGCATAGTGTCTACGGTCAGACCACTTGGGATGATTAAGTTCTACCCCATGGGGCAGGGACACGAAGTGTCTGTCTGGTTTGCAAGGCCCCGCTGGACCCTCGTATCGACTCTGGGAGTTTCATTGGTTCGGGGACTATCTCGGTTCACGTGTAAGTCATGACGAGAACGGCAATGACTGGACTTGGACTAGGCCCGATCGCGAGGATGCCGAGGCATGAAGTTGTCTCTGTGCACGGGAGTACATCGCCTAGGCTAGTCGGTCTTTCGAATAATCGCGATCTCGTTCGGGCGCGTCGCGACTTTCTCTTAGTTTTTCATTGCTCGCGTTTTTCATATTTGATTCCCCATTTTGTGGGAACTTGGAAATATTAGAGTCTTAGTGTTGCGACAGTAGATTAATAAATTTTAGTATACCGTATCGAAGACCCATTTGTAAGACACGAAATTTAATAAAGTGTCAGTAGATTCGTTTTAACTTTTTTCGCTCCAAGTTAGGTTAGGGTGCCTTTGTTATAGGTAGCGCCAGCAGGCTGCGCCACTAGGGCGCATGTCCGGGTCTCGATGCGTAGCCACCTCCACGTGGTGAGACCTGGTAATTGGAATTATTTTCCAAAGAGAAATCTTTGGAAAATAATTCCAAGCTAAGAGCTACGCACAAAGTATGAGATATTAACTATCTCTTGTAAATTTTTAATCTTCCCTTTGAACTTTGAAAATTATTATAACACTCCGCCACAATTATATACCCTTATGAGTGTTATATCAAATTTATTTTCTACCATTTTTGATATACCGGTAGATAAATAGAAAAAGAAACCTGTAATTTCTCTGTTCAAAGAATAATTTCAATTTTACCTTAATGCCACTCGTTATGAGATAGGCAAGGATAGAAGATGAAGCGACATTCGATCAGCGCCATCTATGATTTTGGATGCAAAGCTCAAGAAAGCATCAGGAACACAGAATGCACGAGGAGGTCGTCCGAACCTCGTCACGTGATAGACAATTATAGCTATCGGTTAAAAAAGGATAGAGACAACGCGGTAGTGAAAAATCGCAAATTACCAAGTTTCTACGATTAATTTATGAACTTTTATAACTGTATCGCAAAGTTGATACTTTGGGCAACATTCTTATGTAATTTTTGATAATAATTTGTGGCTAATTAGCTTGTTATTAATAATTATTTGAAGACGTACGTAATTCGATATCAACGAACGGCATGGTTGTCCGATAAAATTAATTATGGACAAAACGAGAAGTAAAATGTACTAAAAATGGTACGAGAAGATGCGCAAGAACATTATCTTTCCAATGCGTTCATGTAATTCATAAATTAACTGCACAGAAAATAGTTATTAACGACAAACTATTAGTATCTTCGGCAGCAGTTCGAACACTCCATGCAATAATTATTAATTATTATAATAATTACCGATTATCATTATCAAAACTTCACGAGACGTTGGATGCATTAAAATATACATAAGAAACGTGCGGCAGTAGCACAACTCAGTCTTACACCGGAAAGATTGACGTTTGGACAGCTTTTTGGGTAAATTCCCCACCGTGCGGCAGAAATACGCACGGCACGCGCGAAACGCAGCCACGGAGGAGGCGTCTCGGCGCAGACGCCGCACCAGATTCACGTACTCGGGCCGTGATCCGTTGAACCGTCTAGGAACGTCGACATTCGCGCGGCGACTGCGACCGCGACCGCGGCTGCACGGCATTCTGCCATTTTCCTCACGCGGTTCTACGACCGATCGCGTCCGTCGACCTTACCATGCTCCAGCCCGTGCACACCTGTCTCCGAGGGATCCTGCACCGTTCTCGTCGCGCGATATTCCACGCTGCTGCGAAGAATCAGCCGGAGAGGTCCTCCTGTGCGCGCCGCTGTTGACATTGCTCTTCCGCCGCTCTTCATTCCACTTTCTCGGATGCTCCTTTGGATTTTTCCCAGGAGCACCCCGGTGAACATTCGTCACCGTGAGATTGCGAACGGACCAGTGAGTGGATACCATGTTCTTAGTGCGAATTTTTAGCAAAATTTACCGAAATTCACCGAACAAAAGTGTGCACGAAGCATAGTTGGCGTAAAATTTCAAACGCGAATCGAGTAGCCTATAGTCGGTCGATGCGAGGGTCGATGCTAGTCGAAAATGCCAGTTGCGAATTCGATTTGCTCGGTGGTCATCCGCGGTTGTACGGGATCCTCGGGATGTGTTTACCGTTCGGGCGGATTTATTCGATCAGGGTGTTTTATCTCGGACACGTCTCGCTGCTATTTCCGTTCCGCTCGATTTTCCCTCGATTTTCCCTCGAATCGAATATCGATCAAAGCAAATTATTCCGTCTCGTTCTCGCAACTTCCGCGGACTTAGCCTCGTGCCCCCTTGGGGTTCAACGGCGAAGAAACTCGGATCGATCCGCGCGAAATCGATTTCCTTCCGCGACGCGATCGATCGATCCTCGCTTCACCGACATTCGCGCCACATTACCGTGACATCGGAGCAATAATTAGGCGTTATTCCTCGTTACGCGCTGGCTATTACATCGCGGCTGCTCGGCCGTCGCGGAGTACCTCGCGGATTTTTATCACGATCCATCATGAAAAGGGAAAATGTTACCGGCGAGACCAATTACGTGCCGTGCTCCGTGAAAAATGCCTCGTAACGCGCTTCGCAGGGAAACGAGTGGAATGGCATTAAAGAGACTCTCGTTCCTCCATCGCGCGATAAAGCGGGAAACAGCAGCGGGGCGAGGGAGAAAGGTATTACACGTGTGAGTCAGATTTTATATCGGTATGGAGGAGCGTAAATAGCCGAGACTGCTCGGAAAAGGAAGTTCAAACATTTATCTCGCGTCCGGGACACTCGCGTGGAAGGAAGAGGGGGCTGATACGCGCGGAAAACGAACTCTCGTCGGATTTCCGAAAAATGTCACGGCAAACAGGAAACTTCCAGCTCGATTTTTCCCCTTCCGTTTCACGCGTTTCGTATTTTCCATGGGTGATAACGCGCCGTTTCGGGTGGGAACGAGCGATTAATTGTCCGGTGGGCGGAGCGTAACGAAAGACAGTAATCGCAATGTTAATTTTGGGAAAATAATACACGGGATTGGCGAACCGGAAGGATAACGACCATAAATAACGAGGTTGCAACAATCTCGGCAAGTAACAACAAAATATCACGCGACGTAAACTGCGATATTCTGGACGAATATGGACATGGCGCGGGATGCGAGCAGATAACGCGGTGTTACGCGATAGCCTTGGTCGGGACCGGAAGTACGGGCGGTACAAAGGTAACTATACCGTGGCTCCGAATTACGATCTATCTATCTGCCTACTGTCTGCCCATTTCCACGGGGAGACTGAAATAAAAATACTTGGAAACTCGAGATAGCGAGCGTAATATCGCGCGGGTTGAAATTGGCTTTGTTGGTTGCCGGGTACTAGGGGCTGAAGAGTGACTGGAACCTGGAAACGGGGTCGAACGGGACCCTTTTTCCATACCGTGTTAGCTGCAGGTGGCTTTTCAAACGGAACGTACCGGGTATAACGTGCAACCCGCTGAATTAGCACGACTAATGTCGCGAACGAGCTGCGGGTTTGCACTTCCGGTGGCGCGACTCGTTCACCCCGTTCACGGCGCGCCTCACCCCGCTGCCTTTTCGCCCGCGTTTGTTTCCGTTTGCACGAGAGGCTCGTTTCTGGCCCGCGAGACCACGTTTCGTGAATAGGCGTGGATGAAAAGAGGAAACGAAATGGGGATGGTTGGCAGACTCGAATAGAAAATGTTTCGTCTTGTCTCTTTTTTTTCAAAGCATTTCTCTCTCTCTCCCCGATGCCAATCAGCCCCGTGCAGATCGTCGAGGGGAGATAACACGTACAGGCTTTTCGGAATATGAAATTGGCTGGAAGAGTCGTTGGTTACTCGTGGCTTTTATTAATTAAACGTTATTACGAGACAGCGGGGGCAGCACGGTCGCCGAGAACGCGTGCTGATTACGACGTCCGTAAACGACCAGCCGGTGTAATTGGGTAACAAAATGGCGCGAACAGCGTGATCGAGGTACCTCCGCAAGGCCGTGGACGGACGCAAGGGTTGAACTGGGACGATCTTAAACCGATGATAGTCGTTCACGAGTTTCCTAGTGTCCTGATGGAAATTGTCGAGCTTACCAGTGCCAGACATCTCGTCGCGCTCTTTATAATCCTACGCCAGGAATAACGCGGTGATCGATCAGGGGGCGCGAGTTTTACAGCGAAATGGAGGCTGCGAGGTATTAACTACCGGTGCGAGCTCGTGGTATTTCAGAGAAAATATCAGTCGAACGTTTTCCACTCGTGATTCACGACGGCCGGCGATCGATTACGCGTTTATTAATCGCGTTCTCTGTATTTAACGACTCGTCGTCCATCACGAGTCTACAATTTTTATTTTTAAAATATTTTCTCACACGGTGAACCTAGATCCAGGACTGATTTATTTTATTTCTCTTTATCCTCGCGTTTATCAACGGTGCTTCCTATTCGTACGCGAAATTTTGCGTTCGAAATGTCCGCCGGAATAAAAACGCTCCTTAATCTCAGCCGCGACAAGATCTGCGAAAGCTCGCGATAAGAAATCGTACCACGACTGCCTTCCCCGCCGTTCCATCGATCCCCGGTTTATCGCGATCCCGACGAAACACATTTCACCGTGAAAAGGAACTGGAAATAGAGAAGGAATAACGTGCATGCGCGTCACGCGTGTCAATAAGTCCTTCTTTGCCGTAGAAACAAAAGTGGACCCTCGAGCAACGCGAGCAAACATCGTTCGGGAACGAGACGAAGGAATTGCATCGACTGGGCGTGTCATAGCAACAAAAACCGCGATTATGGTTCATGGGGTGGCTGCATCGATTCCTTCCCGAAGAGAAACGTGCAACGTTCAGTTCGGGATCGATGATCCAGAGAAATTTCCACTGCTAAGAGACTCTCTGCTCGAGTATCTTCGCGTTGGATCCTCGTTAATCGGTCGCGCGTGTATTTTTATTCGATTTTTGCACTCGATGTAAAATTAGCTACCATGTCGATAGATGTCGATACTGATTCTTGCGAAAATCGAGTGGAGATAGAAACAGGGGAGTGGAATAATAGCGAATCGAGTTGGCTCGGAATTGATCGAGCATCAAAAATTTCAATTTCAATTTCAATGAGGCAAGGCAAGGATTCTTGCACCTTCGTAGAAAACAATCGTGAGGATATAATCATCGCGAAGACCCGGGATTTACAATTTTTCTGATCATTTGGATCAGAAGGAATGTTTTATTTCGCGTTTGCCAGAGTGGGATCGGAATTAACGTCCATCGAGTGTATTTTTATTCGATTTTTGGACTCGACGTAAAATTAGCTATCATTCTATAAATGTCTATACTGATTCTTCCGAACGTGCTAAAATAAAATAAAGATAAAAATTGGAGGGTGGAATAATAGCGACTCGAGTTGGCTCGCAATTGATCAAGCATCGAAAATTTCAATTTTAATCACGCAAGACAAGGTTTGCATCTTTGTGGAAAACAATCGTGAGGATATAATCATCGCGAAGACCCGGGATTTACAATTTTTCTGATCATTGGGATCATATGGGATATTTTATTTCGCATTTGCCAGAGTGGGATCAGAATTAACGTCCATCGAGTGTATTTTTATTCGATTTTTGGACTCGACGTAAAATTAGTTATCATTCTATAAATGTCTATACTGATTCTTCCGAACGTGCTAAAATAAAATAAAGATAAAAATTGGAGAGTGGAATAATAGCGACTCGAGTTGGCTCGCAATTGGTCGAGCATCGAAAATTTCAATCAGGCAAGGCAAGGATTCTTGCACCTTCGTAGAAACAATCGCGAGGACCTGGGGTTTACGATTCTTCTAGTGGATCAGAAGGGAAATTTTATTTTACATTTGCCAGGGTGGGATCGGAATTAACGTCGATCGCGTTTATTTTTATTCGATTTTTGGACTCGACGTAAAATTATCTATCATTCCATAGATGTCTATACTGATTCTTCCGAACGTGCTAAAATAGAATAAAGATAAAGATTGGAGGGTGGAATAATAGCAACTCGAGTTGGCTCGCAATTGATCGAGCATCGAAAATTTCAATCAGGCAAGGCAAGGATTCTTGCACCTTCGTGGAAAACAATCGTGAGGACATAATCATCGCGAAGACCCAGGATTTACAATTTTTCTGATCATTTGGATCAGAAGTAATGTTTTATTTCGCGTTTGCCAGAGTGGGATCGGATTTAACGTCCATCGTATGTATTTTTATTCGATTTTTGGACTCGACCTAAAATTAACTACCATGTCGATATCGACATGTCAATGTCGATACTGATTCTTCCACACGCGCTGAAATAAAATAAAGATAAAAATTGGAGGGTGGAATAATAGCGACTCGAGTTGGCTCGGAATTGGCCGAGCATCGAAGATTTCAATTTCGATCAGCCAAGATAGTGATCCTCGCACCTTCGTTGAAAATAATCGCGAGGACATAATCACCGCGAAGACTCGGGATTTACAATTTTTCTGATCAATGGGATCATAAGGGATGTTTTATTTCGCGTTTGCCAGGGTGGGATCGGAATTAACGTCGATCGAGTGTCGACGGTGAAAGAGAGTCGAGACACCATGACATCGAGTGTTACCTTCGAAACGAAACAAGCAGACGATATTAACCCTTTGCCCTCGACGATTTTTTGGCTACGGACGAGTAGAAATTCAAAGATTCTCTAATAAACAACTGACGATACTTTTTCGAGCAGTAAATAAAGAATTGTATAATAATAGAACTGTAGAATTATCTGATTTCGATACCTCGCACACTGTTACATTACATTAAATTTGATATATTAATTAATATCGATCTTCCAAATTTTATGAAATGGTGACTGAGGGTCACCTCTCGAGTGCAAAGGGTTAAAGGAACGTAAGAAAGGGATGATTTTTACGGTACACTCGTAGGAGCATCCCTTTGAAGTCCATCCGCATAAAAGTTCTACTTCTTCTTGGAAAAGGAACGTAAGAAAGGGATGATTTTTTCGGTACACTCGTAGGAGCATCCCTTTGAAGTCCATCCGCATAAAAGTTCTACTTCTTCTTGGAAGAGAAAGAGAGGAGGAATAGCACTTTGCCCAAACGAGAATTAAACGAGTATGCAAATTATATTTGCCCGTTCCCTCGTTCTGGGTTAACGCCGAGTCGAGTAATCACGCTCAGCGTCGCTGCAAATTTCGGAAAAATTCCTCGCGCCCTTTTCTTTTCCCAAACAATCGTCGATATTCGCTGCAGATTTGCAAGCATCGTGATTCTCGAAGTGCACCACGTTCGTTCGTAACACCGCGACGAAATCGGCCTTTAATTAATGCAAGCTTTTGAAAAGCAGCGCAGTCGCGAGTCAAGAAAGATGCAAAATTCCCATTGTCCGCAGAATTTTTCCCAGCTGTACGAGATTTCTGGATTACTTTATTCTCGAAAGCTACTTGCCGCTCGGGATCGTTTATTTTCCAAGCGCCAAAGAAAATTAAGCGCTGAAAATTTTCAGCTCCGAGCACCGTTGTTTCATCTGCTTTCAAGTATCATTGTCTTTCCTACGAACTTCCCGTCTCAACTTTCACGCGCGAGAACTTCTTTTCCCGGCTGTGTAAAACTCGCGCGAGATTGCGAGGGAAATTTCCATGAACGATTTCCATTTCACGCGGCTCACCGGTTACGCCCATTCCTCGCTGGCAAAAATCAATGAATTCGCGATTTCCGACGCGCGAATCAGCAAATTACTTGGCTGTTTAGCCGGTAACCGCGTCTTTTCAACCGACAAACGAATTTTCTGTTCGCAGGCCACCCTTCGGCATTAACGTCCCTACACCGCCATCGTGCTTCCGGCTGCTCGTTATTCCGCGAATTACGCGAGGTCGGCCTTGATTAATCCCTGGATCGTTGTGACGGTAATCGACGCAACAGCCCAGACCGTCGAAACCTCCGTCATCGTCTGAAACCATCAGTAATTCCTTCAGAAATCTCTGGGAGTTGAAATTATTTTGCTGTTGACCTAGCTGACCCCGCAAAAAGGACGCGACAGGTATCCCAGGTCGCTGATGCTGAGGACAAGGGGTCCAAAATACGCGTATCCGAGTATCTGCGTATCAAAACCAGCTAACCGAAGACTGGGGAATAATTACAGGCGTAAGAAGGACAAATGAAAACAGAGAAAGCGTGAGAAAAGTGGGAAGAATAGGAAGTTGGAAGATCAGAGAAGTCCGCGGAGAAGTTGGCGAGGTGTCTAGACTCGGCGAGATTGGGCAAAAGGCGGAGACAAATAGGAGTTGATAGGTAACGGGTGTTGGAAGTTGGAAAGTGGTGCAGGAAGGGTCGCGAAGCCGCCCTGACACACTTCAACGACGTGGCCATATCTGACGGAATGGAAGAGAAGACGAGGTGAGGAAGAACAGGCGAAGCTACGGGCTCGATCGAACGGAAGAAAGCGAAACGTGGTGGTGGAGAAAAGTAAACAACCCTGCGCAGGGGGTGCAAAGCGGGGAAGTGGAGTGGAAGAAAGAAGGTGACGCCGAGAGCGTCGGAGGAGTCTTGACAAAAAGAAACGACCTTCGAGCAGAGATCTAATAACAACGAGACACGGGGTTGGGGGAATATGAAGAGAAAGAAACAAGATTAAGTGGCCGGGAGACGAGGAGCTGGGACGAATAGAGACAGCGAAATTGACGGCAGAGGCGCGGATATTCGATCGAATGAATAACCGAGCCATGAGTGGTTGGAAGCATGAGAATTCCGAGTGGATGTCTTCCCTCGACCCGAAAGTACTCGGCTACACGTTACACCGGCCACCGTTACTCGCCTCACGTATCCAGAGCCACTGAGAGAGGCAAAAATGGGTGCCAACCAGTCGACGAGGAACGAGCCTATCCCTGGGGAAGAAGGTGAGTCCCTGATCAACGCGAATTTATTATATACTTTTGTTAACTACTTGCGCTAGAAAGACGTGCCACGCACGTCGTCCTGCTTTTGTCGCAGAATCGCTAACGACGTGGTGTACACGTTATTGGACAATTGTCATAGAAACACTGGACTGTTCTGACACACGCCTCTGTGAATTTCTTGCCAACGCAAGTGGTTAAAGGGGGTATAACGTAAAGGAATAGTAGTCAGTGGAAACGGAGTATAGATTTTTATTTAACGGGCGAACGGTTAGAACTGTTTAGGCCTGTTTAGGGCCACGTAGGTCACAGAAAACAGGAGACAAAAGACAAAACGCAGGGGAAGGGATCGCTCCCACATCGCTAGGATGTAGAATTTACTTTACTATTTAATTTTACTACAACAACCTTGAACAGAACTCGAGGAGAAATTAGAGATTTTAGGTTGCTAGCTAGACTTGGTCAATCTGTCGGTGAACATCCTTTGATTTCGAAGAACCTTTCTAGGGGTCTATGGGGTACTATATAATACACTAACTGTATACTATAATTCTATAAAATATAATTGTGAAATATACATCCCTTATCAACGCGAATTTATTATATCTCTCGAACAGAACTCGAGCAGAAATTAGAGATTTTAGGTTGCTAGATAGACTTGGTCAATCTATCGGTGAACATTCTTCGATTTTGAAGAACCTTTTTAGGGGTCTGTAGGGAACTACATAATACACTAACTGTATACTATAATTCTATAAAGCATAATTGTGAAATATACATCCCTTATCAACGCTAATTTATTATATCCCTCGAACAGAACCCGAGTAAAAATTAGCGATTTCAGGTTGCTAATTAGAATTGGTTCATCTGTCGGTGGACATCCTTCGATTTCGAAGAACCTTTCTAGGAGTTTGTAGGAAACTATATAATACACTAACTGTATACTATAATTCTATAAAGTATAATTGTGAAATATACATCCCTTATCAACGCGAATTTATTATATCCCTCAAACAGAACTCGAGGAGAAATTAGAGATGTCAGATTGCTAACTAGACTTGGTCAATCTGTCGATGAACATCCTTGGATTTCGAAGAACCTTTTTAGGTGTCTAGAGAACAGAATGAATGGTTAAAAGTGCTGGGGGCGAACGTGTTAAGAAAGATCAGGACTCATAGCGAATCTCTCTCGTTTCATAGCCAGCCGTCGTCATTCTATTTATAAGCTTACTTTATTCTATTAAGAAATCAACAACACTATCTTAAACCAATCCACCGAAATACGATCCCACATTTGACACCAGGATATCAAAGGATGAACGATTCATCGACGAATAGACCTCGGTATCTCCTCGAGAATATCTGAATTTAATAGACTTACAGTAAAATTAGCGACGTGGTTCCGGCTAGTTCAGTTTCAAATGTAGGAACGGACTGCTGCTCGTTAAAATTGTCAAACTTTGTCAGGCAATTAGTTCACGTATCGTAAATCAGCGTCTGGCTCGTTAACAAACTCTGGTCCTGGGATTTAATATTCGCGATAATCGTTGCATCGCGTTCAACCGAACCCGCGTGTTCCTCGTTCGGCATACCTCGGGAGCAGATGTCCCGAAGACGAATTCACCCCGAGGAACACGTTTTGTCTCTGGCATTAATTAGTAAAACACGAAGAAACCCAGCTCGACTCGAGAGTTTAGCGTAAAATAGCTGCGTTAAAGGACAGTTCTATTAAAGCCAGCCGTAATGTAATTTCGAACTTGCCGGCGGGGTCCCTTTGAAAATAACCTGGCAGCGATTCTCAAAGACGCCTGTTTCTATGGCGTTAATTAACAGAAGTAGCAAATCATTTTGCCATTCGGATGGGACGCTCTAATTGCATCTGCTAGATCAGATGTTCGCGATTGAAACGCGCGGTTTTCTGCAACTTCTGGAAATTCGTCGTCATCGGGGACTCGTGCCGAAACTGACAGGATACGCTGATGCGATTTCGGGAGGAAGCGGTCGCGACATCGCCGACGATAAACTTCCGGCCGAGTTGCACGGAGTTTGCACAACCGCGAGTCCTGGCACGCGTGTGCGCGAGCTTCCGCTTAATCGCTACTTTGCCAGTAACGTTGCGGCTTTGTTCAACTATCCACCCCTGTAAGCCTTCGATTATTCGCCGCTTTTGTCGGCGAGTCGGCGTTTCGTTGCACCGCTTGTTCCCTTAAAATGCAGCAAACGAGCCTTTTGTTGTTAATTACACGCCCGTTGTCTCTCGTTTCAGTGAACTTCGATCACTTTCAAATCCTGCGAGCTATCGGGAAAGGAAGCTTCGGAAAGGTACGAGATAAACGTGCGATGCACGTGCACGATAGACCCCTTAAGATAAAGCCATTGGCACGATGTCGATTCGCTATTGGCAGGGGTTAGCCCGACCCCCGTTTCCTCCGCGATTAGAACGCTTGTTCGCAGCATCCGTAATCCCGAAATCGTTCCCTCGAATAATCGAGTTAACACAAAGGTTACGCGCGGAATAATAATATCGCGATAATATCTGCATCCGTTATCCGATTGATATTAGATTGAAATACCCGCTGCAATTTATACGGTTCCAAGTACGCGCTTGGAAATTTAAATTCCCGAGTTGAAATTTTCGAAATTTACACGCGAGGATCCGCGTGTTCGAATCGAAGCGTTTCCAGACACGTTGATTCGCTTGGCCGTCCAAATTTGATCCGTTGGCAGCCACTTGAATTTCGATCGAACCTGACCTCTGCACAGCAATCGACACTGTTACCGCAAATAGGAGTCTCTCGTGCACCGACTTAAATTCCAACTACCATTTCCCTACCCAATTACCTGGCACTCCTAAACGTTTCCTCGCGATATTACTCATCGACTATCATTATATCGTTTCGTTCCTCGTGTCACCGCTAATTATCACCCTCTAGACCCCGCTGCTACGTAATTCCTCACGATTAATGACCAAACTTCGCCCCCAAACACGTCTCCGTGACGTCACGTTTCTTATCCACTCGTGTCTAGCGTAACAACGAGCATTGTCGTGACTGTTCGACCCATTTCCCAAATTCCAAAATTTCCCATGACCAACAATGTTCGTCCTCCCTCGCCATCATTCCGCAGAAACGTCCGCTTCATCCCCTAACAAGCGGCCTAGTCGTCGCCCAACAATCAACCGAGGAATAGTTCGTGATTCACCGCTCAACCCCCATAACGAGCAATTAATTATCCCCTAACAGGTGTGCATAGTGCAGAAACGAGATCGCACTGGAAACATGTACGCGATGAAGTACGTTCACAAGGGTGAGTGTGCCGTGAAGGGCGCGCTGAAGAACGTCGTGAGAGAAGTGGAGATCCTCTCGCAGCTCGAACACCCCTGTTTGGTGAACCTGTGGTTCAGCTTCCAAGGTAAGCCGAACAGTGCCCGCTCCGCGAATACCGGGAACGAGCTTACCGTCCTTCCACCCCACGTTGCTATCGATTTTCCATGGCGAACGCCGCTAAGGGCATTAGGCGAACTAACTCGATCGACGATCTTTCTTCCTCGGTTTCCGTACTTTCGCCCTTGTTTTCCTTGTTTGCGACGTTAACGGCGAAATTGGGAAATTGTATAACGACTCGGAGGACGAGGTATGGCGGTCAGAGGGGTGCAAGGGAATCCGATTTATGCAACTTTGGAATCGCGCAGCTCTTCGGGGTAGAGTCCATGGGAAAATCTGGAAGCATGGCGGTCAGAGGGGTGCAAGGGAATCCGATTTACGCAACTTTGGAATCGCGCAGCTCTTCGGGGCAGGGTGCGCCGGAAAATCTGGAAGCATGGCGGTCAGAGGGGTGCAAGGGAATCCGATTTATGCAACTTTGGAATCGCACAGCTCTTCGGGGCAGGGTTCGCGGGAAAATCTGGAAGCATGGCGGTCAGAGGGGTGCAAGGGAATCCGATTTATGCAACTTTGGAATCGCACAGCTCTTCGGGGCAGGGTTCGCGGGAAAATCTGGAAGCATGGCGGTCAGAGGGGTGCAAGGGAATCCGATTTACGCAACTTTGGAATCGCGCAGCTCTTCAGGATAGGGTACGCGAGCAATTTCTCGTAAACGGAAGGCTCCTCGAGCTTATGCCACTTTTTGTATATCGTTGCTTGAAAATTACAAGTTCACTTAGAAGAAAGGTATCCTGAAGAAAAGCGGATTTGTCGCGTCACTGTTGCGATTGGATTGGAAGCTGCTGGGACGTTGATAGCACAGCTTTTTCTTCGGTTGCAGACGAGGAGGACTTGTTCATGGTCTCCGATCTTCTGCTCGGTGGTGATCTGAGGTACCACATCCAGCAAGAGGTTCTTTTCACGGAGGAAAGCGTTGTGCTGTTCGTGGCAGAGATCGCCCTGGCCCTCGATTATTTGCAAAGCTACAAAATCGTCCATCGAGACATAAAACCCGATAACATCCTGCTGGACGAGGAAGGTGAGTGGATACTTTGTCAGACATTGCTTGACCGGTTAAAAATTCACTCGGTATCGATTGGTCGGAAGATCATCCAATCCATGGTTTCTCGACCCTTTTAAGCACCTGTGGCACCGTTTCTCTATTCTCTTCGCACACAAAGTTCCAATTTATCATATTTTATTTGTATCGTACTCTTATTTATCTCATTATTTACATGCATGTACATCACTATGATGCATCTATGACTGCTACTAAATCGTTAAAATAAATGCAACTCTCGCCCGGCTCCAAAAAATTCTGCGTGCCAAATTTTCTAGTAACATCACTCTGATCTATTCTGTTCCCTGGCTCTTGGATACGTGAAATAATTCAAGAGTTTGCTTCGAAATCTCTTCTTCCACGAAAATCTCCCTGAGAAGCGCGGGAAACGTCAAAAATAAGGAACGCTTGGAACCCATTCAATTTACAAGCGTCGCGTAACGATTCCCGAGACGAAGAATTTTCAAAGGACGTTTTACTTTCCCTCGAAGAGGGCAGATTTCTCCCGTCCCTCGCGGAGATCACGGCAATTTGCGAAACAGGGACATCGTCCCGAAGCTTTAATTCCAACGTAACAATCGACAATCTCGAAGCTCTCGTAACCCCGAATCGGTAACACGACGTGGATCGTGAAAAATTGCTTTCCACCGACTTCCACTCTGTCATAGACGCGTAATCCAGCTGTTTACGCGTGATCCCCCAATTCTGAAATTCGTAATCAATAATTCGCGTTCTCGTTACCGCGCCACGTGACGGACTCGCGACCTCGGACAAGCGAACTTTGTTTAATTTGCACTTGCCTTCGCGGAAAATTCGCGAAATTTCGGGACCATCGCATTATCGACTGGATTTATTTTTAAAGCAACAGCCACGCCCGTGGCACGGTCAAGGCACGTCCTACGAATAATTACATTATGCCTGTCCCACATCTACCGAGGATAAATACGATACTGTTGCTGAATTCCCTGCTACGTGCGCCCTCCAACGTGGCTTGGTGTAATTCCTCCATTCCGTGCGCTTTTCTCTGGCAAGGAATTATCACGGAACGCCAAGCTCGCGAGCCCGAATGCCAAAGGAAATTGCGGTGCAACGTAATTTGTTAATCTTCCCTGTGGCTGGGTTGGCCTGACGGAAGTATGGCAACGCGACGTGAAAGCGATATCGTGAGTAATGTTTGACAGCAAAACTGGTTACACTCGTTGATCCCGGAATTTTTCGACGAGGTCGCTCTTGGTAGATCTTGCTCGATTTTAACAAACCAAACGTGGAATAAATGTCTTTCCCTTACGTATATATGCATTGAACGAGAACGAGGTCGCTGTTGGTAGATCTTGCTCGATTTTAACAAACCAAACGTGGAATAAATGTCTTTCCCTTACGTATATTAGCCCATAACTCGGAAGATATAGTGCCGATTATATTAGCATGAAATATACAGCTTTTGCCGGGACTCCTCGGCGAAAGTGATCAAGAAAATGGACGTAGGCGTGGAAGAAGAAGCGACGTAATGATCTGTGCAGGGAGTACGAGTAATTTGAAACAACGGTAAACAATATAGGCGCCAGGGAAGTTTGCATATTAGCGTCGTGCAAAATGGCCGCCGAAGAATCCAATTTGCCGCTCGCGATAATTAGATGATCGCCTACCCGAATCGCTTTATCGTCCACCGAGGTGTCCAATATCCTTAGAAGCTTCGCCGTGTACCACGGAGGACGTTTCATTACCCCGGGTCAGGGTTTCGAAGACGAAACCATCGCTCGAGAACGGTAGAAAGAATTTACGCGAGGCCGTGTAATTCGTTCCATCGACCTACTTGCAATTAAATCTGCTTGATTTATTCGCCATCGCCAGCTTCGCGATTAACAAGTCTATGGACGGACCAGGTCTCTGCATCGATAACAGGATGCAACTGTGAAACAGGGTCAAACGAGGCTCGAGTCTCTGCTTTTCTCAAATTCACCAGCATCGGACGTTGAAAAATAAAAGGGCTGGCCTACACGCACCCCTGATTTCCCCTCGTGCCAGCATGAGAAAACACGCCCCTAAATTTTGTAAATGCATCAGCGAAGATGGGATATAGCCAATCACGGCTGCATTTCTTCCGCGAGTTTTCCTTTGAGCAACGCGGTGCATTTAATCCTCGCAAGCCCTCGAGAACCGTCGAGGGGTCTGAAGTAAAGGCCACCCACAGTGTGTACGATATGGAAATTTCTGTTCAGCACACCGTCGAACCAACGCCGGTGTATAATTTAACTCGGGATCCATCCTAAACCGGCACTCTCTGAAAGGCATGCACGAAGTTGGGATACGTGCCCGTGAATCGGTCTTATGGTACTCCTCCTCAGTCACCGAATTCGAGTTCGCTCTCGCATGGGAACGAAATAAACGGGCAGAAAGGAGAAACGAGAGCAACGCAGGAAACGTCCACGCAATGGCGACGAGCGAGAAAAAGAGTGGAGTACCTGCACTTGCCATGTAAATCTCGCTAGCTGAAAGAAAAGGGACAGGCTGGGGGTAAATTAAAAGGATGTGCACGCCAGCAAAGGGACCTTGTTCCTTCCTAATTAGCGACCCTTGCTGCTGCACGTTCCTTGAATATATTCGACGTCTAGTTAGTCGCGCGCTGTCCGACATTTGTAATTCTGTAAATCAAGCTCGTAGGCAGACGTATACTTGCCTCATTTGCATATCAACCGGCCAGTTTACGTTTGATTTCCACGTTAACGCGGACAAACGTGGCAATCGTGTGGTCCGTGGACTCGATTAAAATCGCAAAAGCTGGATTACTTCATCGCTGCTCCCGACGGCTGTAAATCTCTCCGGCTAGGCTCCCAGCCTCGATAGAATTCTCGCTCTGCTACCGATCCGATGATTTATCGAGCATATGAAATTCACTATCGCGACTGCATCGGGGGCACGGAAAAATCGAGCGTGCAAGGAGGATAGGAAAAATCCACGACTGCTAGTAGATGAAAGAGAAACATTTACTCTGGGGCAACAAATTCCATAGTTATAACGTAACATATGGGTAACAGACCGTGAAGCTTTCGAGTTCCATTGTCTTTCATTGGCTGGCCAGTCGCTATGAAAATGTACCATCCGAAGCAACCCTGCTGCGTACCATGTGGCGTCAACCTTTCGCTGTATAATTCGATACGAAACACGACTCGAAGCAACGATCGAGTGGCTCTCTCGTATCGATTCAGTCGACTCGCCACCTTTTCCTCGTTATTTCCAATTAATTCCACCGCGAGATCCTCTTCGGACGCGAATCCGCGTTGAAATTCTTACGGCAACTGGCCTTTATAAACTTGCAACGATTTAAGTTCTATAGCAATTCAAGAATAACAAAACACAGGTCTATTATCGCTCGAGATATTAACAATTGACAAAACAGTACCGAGTACAGCCGTCATCGAAGCACTGTAGCCGTTAGATTAATTTGTTCAGTGATGATTTAAATTCCTCAGAAATTCTAGAATAATCATTGTATACATCAGTTGTGGATAGAGATATTTACAATTGGGAGTACGGTACTTAGTACATCCACGAACAGAGCACTGTAGCCGGTAGATTAATCTGTTCACTGATGATTTAAATTCTATAGCAATTCCAGTATGAAAAAAGACAGATCAATTATCGCTTGAGATATTAACAATTGACAAAACAGTACCGAGTACAGCCGTCATCGAAGCACTGTAGCCGTTGGATTAATTTGTTCAGTGATGATTTAAATTCCTCAGAAATTCTAGAATAATCATTGTGTACATCAGTTGTGGATAGAGATATTTACAATTGGGAGTACGGTACTTAGTAGATCCACGAACACCCACAAAAAATTATTAATTTATCAAAGGAAATAATTCGCAACGTAACTTTTGATTTATAATAAAATAATCAAACGCGTATTTTTATTTTTACGAATAAATTTGCGACATTCCTAAATCCTTAGTTTACACATACCTATTCTTGCCATAAGTGGTCAAATGACCCCTTTTGAAAAAATTATTAATTTATCGAAGGAAATAATTCGCAACGTAACTTTTGATTTATAATAAAATAATCAAACGCGTATTTTTATTTTTACGAATAAATTTGCGACATTCCTAAATCCTTAGTTTACACATACCTATTCTTGCCATAAGTGGTCAAATGACCCCTTTTGAAAAAATTATTAATTTATCGAAGGAAATAATTCGCAACGTAACTTTTGATTTATAATAAAATAATCAAACGCGTATTTTTATTTTTACGAATAAATTTGCGACATTCCTAAATCCTTAGTTTACACATACCTATTCTTGCCATAAGTGGTCAAATGACCCCTTTTGAAAAAATTATTAATTTATCGAAGGAAATAATTCGCAACGTAACTTATGAAATTATTCTTATTACTCTTACGCCTTAATTTGCATACGATTTCTCATTCACCGTTTTAAAAATATCGTCGACTTTATGTCAGAAAGTTTTCGTTTTAAAAATATCGCCGACTCCAAAGGGTTAATGTTCTACCTTGTATCTCCGACTAATCGTGATAATTTGAACGACTACGAGAAAGTCGATTAATATCTGGTATTCCTGACTGAAACAGACTGCAAAATTTTCGATTAAAATCGGATTCGAGGCTAGTTTCCACGTCAAATCGCATAATCTTCTAGCAGGCATGCTAGCGATAAACCACATAAACCACGAAACACGTTGATTAACTTCTCTCGAACAGTTCCGGCAGCCAATGTTCATTGCAACCTATCTTGTTCCTTCGAATCGAGTAATGAAGTTTGGATATGTAAATGCGGGATATTTCGCGTTTCACGAAACGACGAACTATTCTTCGCTGATGTTTCGTTATCGACCGATGTACCCGAGTCCCATGGCCCAGAAATCAATAGTATTTACCAGTACAACGCTGCGTGATAATATTCTCGATTCGCGTGGACAACAGATTCATTGTCGATGGTTCGAGATTGTATCCCGGTATTTTTCCAAGAGAAATTTCTGTTCGGAAAATCCAAATTCTGGATAAACAATATCCCCTTCCGTCATTCGCGCGATCCAACGAATCGCTTTGAAATTAAATGAATGTCCGCGCGACAACGATTCAATAACACAGAGATGTTTTCACTGATAAATTCTGAATAAAACATTCACGTAAGTATTATCGTCGTTCAACATTGCAATTTATCAACAGAAATTTCAACTCCGAAAACCCGAGTACTAAATACAAAATATATGACTCAGATGTAATCCGATAAATTTCGTTGAAACGAATTACGGTTGCAGGAATTCGGTAACGGCGAGATATTTTCGACGATAGCGTTTTAATCAAATATTATGGTAAATGAAATACGTGGTTGGCAGACGTGGCATCGATAAGAACAGGGGACACGTTTATAAAGGGAATACTCGGAGTTCGGGGGGTTGATTATGGTTGTCAAACGACCAACTGGACAGGGGTGTAACGAGCTGGACGGAGCTCGAAAATTGTAATTTAAAAAAGTTTGTGGCACGAGATTACTGTCGAAGGACTCTAATAAAATCTGAGAAATATCACTCGTGGAGGTGTCCAGCGAAAAGACAGGAAAAATATAAATTTCCACGACTAAGAAGAAATCTCGACGACAATAAGGCCAATTTGAATCATCTTCCTCGCTTTATTAGAAACCCAGAACTGCTGCAAAGAGAATTTCTGCAAAAAGTAGGAAAATAAGGAAACAGAAATGCTCCGGAGAAATAAGGAAAGAAATACTCTAGAGAAATAAAGGCAAAGGAGTACTCCGGAGAATGACCCTCGATATCGATGTATTAAATTAATTCCGCAATGGTTGATTGAATTTTTGATTTTCATTACGGCAAGAAAGGTCCGAGGAAGGTGCAGGGAACGGAGAACCGCTTTTGATTGCTCATCAAAGGTCAAAGAACGGCTACAATAGAGGGCCGCATTATATTCCGGTGACGTAGCAGGCCGCAGATCCGGTCATTTTCCTCCCCTCTCTTTCTCTTTCTCTATCAGCCGTGATGACGAAGAGCCTGACTCAGCCCATAAATAATTTTACGCTTTCCATTCGATGTCCAGGTCTCCTGCTTTGAAAATTTCACCCTCCACCCTTTGACACGACCACCGTGAGAGAGGTCCGCCGCTCGTGTCATAGCAAACGCGTGCACGCGACCTGGCAAAGTTTACCAGGAAAACGTCTAACAAGGTTCAATTTATCTACGAATTATTTTCCTTATTCGGTCATAAAATTTGTAAAAGGGACCCACTATTTTCTGGAACAAATTTAAACTGCCAAGTGTCTGTAACGAAGATTGAACCTGATTGTGAGATGGAAATTAAATCATAAAGCGATTCTCAGTAATTTTTAGAGCTAATTCGATGCACGTAAATCTTCGTAATCGTGTTGAAAGAGGTGCAGTTTTATCTGAAAAATTTATCTGGGAATTATTTATCTAGATCAGCAAAAATGAAAAACCTTTTTATCATCTGGTCGAGCAAATTTTCTATGGCTTCAGGAGATAAATAAATAAAATATGCGAATCAGTACTATGAACAAGAATACTTCAAAGATTTCTTTCGCATTATTTTTGTTCACACTTTGTCTCGTTGAAGTTACCGAAGGACACGGTAGGTGTAATAGGTTGTGCGTGTGCATTTTATAGTAACAGAGACTCTTTCAACAACCATAGCCTCGAATTAAAGGCAGGATCAGAGGAAACGACGTATTCAGTGGCGTCGTATCAAAAGCGACACCGGGAAGAGCCATGCTCCGAACGAGGGTAACCCTAATTACCCTGCTGCATTCACCTGACAGCTGTTTGTGTCACGGAATTGCTTCTGCATCATTTAAAATTACCTGGGTGTCTCCGTTCGCGTTTCATCTCGCCAGTTTCATCGCCCCATTCCCGCCCCATTGTCCGTGAAAGCGTTTTCTACGTGTGCTGAGCGATGACTCTACCTTTTAACCCTTTCATCGACCGATGGACGCGTCGATGTGCCAGGCTTTTAAAAATTCCCTGGAAATTACGAAAGAGCGCGGACCCAGTGGTAACTCCATCGGAGGATCTCCATTTTATTTATCCGTCCAGCCGTGAAATTTACCTATGCCATTTTTTCCCCAATTCCCGACGAAACTAACCCTCGAGGCCGATGCTTCCTTTATCTCGCGAGAAACCTGGAACAATTTTTAATCGTGGCACTATTAATAAATAAAACGAAAGAAAGAGTATATAATGAAAGAGGAATTATCGCGAAATTCGTGCGAAATAAATTAAAAATTTCCATCGACTACCATTTACACCTGTATACCTTCGTGCAAATGGTACGTTAGATTAGAATAATAGGGCAATTCGCGCGGTGTCGGCCATTTTTTCCCCAATTCCCGACGAAACTAACCCTCGAGGCCGATGCTTCCTTTATCTCGCGAGAAACCTGGAACAATTTTTAATCGTGGCACTATTAATAAATAAAACGAAAGAAAGAGTATATAATGAAAGAGGAATTATCGCGAAATTCGTGCGAAATAAATTAAAAATTTCCATCGACTACCATTTACACCTGTATACCTTCGTGCAAATGGTACGTTAGATTAGAATAATAGGGCAATTCGCGCGGTGTCGGCCATTTTTTCCCCAATTCCCGACGAAACTAACCCTCGAGGCCGATGCTTCCTTTATCTCGCGAGAAACCTGGAACAATTTTTAATCGTGGCACTATTAATAAATAAAACGAAAGAAAGAGTATATAATGAAAGAGGAATTATCGCGAAATTCGTGCGAAATAAATTAAAAATTACCATCGACTACCATTTACACCTGTATACCTTCGTGCAAATGGTACGTTAGATTAGAATAATAGGGAAATTCGCGCGGTGTCGACCATTTTTTCCCCAATTCCCGACGAAACTAACCCTCGAGGCCGATGCTTCCTTTATCTCGCGAGAAACCTGGAATAATTTTTAATCGTGGCACTATTAATAAATAAAACGAAAGAAAGAGTATATAATGAAAGAGGAATTATCGCGAAATTCGTGCGAAATAAATTAAAAATTACCATCGGCTACCATTTACACCTGTATACCTTCGTGCAAATGGTACGTTAGATTAGAATAATAGGGAATTTCGCGCGGTGTCGGCCATTTTTTCCCCACTTCCCGACGAAATTAACCCTCGAGGCCGATGCTTCCTTCGTCTCGCGAGAAATCTGAAACAATTTTTAATCGTGGCACCATTGCTCGATAAATAAAACGAAAGCGGAATTGTCGCGAAATTCGGGCGAAATAAATTAAAAATTACCATCGACTACCATTTATTTACACGTGTATATCTTCGTGCAAATAGTACGTTAGATTAAAATAATAGGGAAATTCGCGCAATGTCGTCTATATTTTAATTCCATCGAAATTAAAGAACGAATCTATTCGTGATCGTGATATTAACGTGTAATTAGAAAAGAGAAAGGAAGAGGAACGTAATTATCGCGAAATTGATACGAAGTAAATTAAAGCCAAGAGCATATTGACGATTGGCTACACACGTGTGTACACTTTGGTCGATATTTCCCACTGGTCGGCTGAATTCCGCGTTTCTTCCCGCGAATGGAACACTCGGGTAACGCAGAAATTCCATGGTGGCCATCAGTCATGGAGGGTTGCGGGATATTCGACCCTCGGCGCTGACCGAAGCCATGCATATGACATCGTTTGCGTCACGTGACAGATGCTGATCGCTAACGATCGCCAGCTGACGATTAATCAAACTCGCGGTATTATCCGTGGTATAATACTAGGGAATGAAACAGGGTGAACAATGGCGGATAGCTCGAGGATGACGAGAAAATAATCGAATCACCTAAGCGTTCCCTCTTAGATACATGTCATGCGATTACAGGCTTATGTTCTGCTTAGGACACGCGCACGTGACGGATTTCAACATTGCTACGGTACTGGAGAATGGTGAATTGGCCACGTCGATGTCAGGAACAAAACCGTACATAGGTATGAATTAATTACGTCCTGTTCGGTACGTTGCTTCGGTTAATTGCGCGTAAAATGCGGCGATAAATAATTTTATTCGAGAAATTAATAATGATCGACCGATTGCGATTGAACGAATCCACGTATAATTAACCGGTTGCCGATGAAGGTAATGATACTGTAATATCTTAACAAATGTCACGAGAAATTTTCGACAAGCAACGAATGGAATCCGCGAATTTAAATAAATTTAACCCTTTGCACTCAAGAGGTGACTCTCAGTCGCCGTTTAATCAGATTCTAAAGATCGACGTTAATTAATACATCAAATTTAAAATTACCTAACGATACGTGCAATGTCGGAGAAAAATAATTCTACGTCTTAATTTGCACATGATTTCTCATTTACCATTTTAAAAATATCGTCGACTCTATGACAGAAAGTCTTCGAATTACCATTTTCCTGTAACGAAAAAGTCATCCAGTGCAAAGGGTTAAATAAATTTAAACCACATTCATTTGCAAATTTGCGAATAGAGACAGTAGAATCTCTTTTAAGTGTCGCTTTCTGTGTCTTCCAATTAACGCGAAAATTCGGAAAATTTTGATAAAAATTCGAAATAAAAGGTGAACTGGTTTACTCGGTGTCTCGACGTTTCATCGAAATTCCTTTGAACTCTCTTCTGATACAGCTCCGGAAATTTACATGTGCTCTTGCGAGGAATATGGCGTCCTGGGCTACTCGTTCGCTGTGGATTGGTGGAGCCTTGGAATTCTTGCTTGGGAAACCCTCGCAGGCGAGCGCCCTTATCCTCTCTGCTCCACTACGTCATACAGAGAGGCTTTGCAGATCCTGCAGGTAAAATTGTCGATAAAATGTTTTCGTACGGTCTCCCTTTAACGTGAATGCCTCCTATTCCCGTCACTCAGCTTCCTCTCTTCTACGATCCATTTTCCGACACTGGCACTACCATAACACTAGCACTATCATAAATTCTGCCCACGTAGGTAATAACAACATCCCGCTACATTTAATAAGTTTATTAAAAATATCGAAGCTCAGATTTTTTCGAGGAGGAACGTAAACTGCTGTGGCAAATTTGAAATTAATCGAGAAGGATTGGGGAGGCTGAATTAAAGAAACATTGTTCAGAAGGAGAAACCGACACCCTCTGGCTGGAGTTCGATGATACGCGAGCTTCTGGACAGGCTATTAACCGTGGCGCCAGGCGCGCGGATATCGACGCTGAAGGAGCTGAAGCAAGTGAACGCGATGAGGGAACTCGACTTCGACAAAGTGTTGAACAAGCAAATCAAGCCGCCTTTCACGCCTCCGAAGGATCACCTGAACTGCGATCCGACGTTCGAACTGGAGGAGATGATCATCGAGACGAAGCCGTTGCACAAGAAAAAGAAGCGTCTGGCGAAGCAAAGGTGAGCGGATTACAGCTGGAGAAGAAGTTAATTGCTGAATTCCAATCGACGTCGTGTGATCTTGCCTGTCGTCCAAGGGAAATTGATGGCGGGGATATTGATCAAACAGAAGCTATTGCTTCGTCCCGGTATTCCCCGTTTTATTGAAAGCCCTTTGCAACACGCTTCGAAATTTCACCTGTAAAAAATTCTTTCTAATTTATTAAACAATTAGGCAAATTTCTGGTAACCCTGTCGAGTATTAACACAACAGACTCTACTTGAGTACCTGCTTGCCTAGAAAATTCTATTTCTTTAAGAATCGAATCAATTTGGGGTAAATATCCCGAAAATTCCAGAATATTTTCTGTCGAAATTACGAAAAAGTCGACTCCTCAATTTCGTGACCAAAATTGCAAAGAAATTTATTGAACAATTAGACAAATTTCTGGTAACCCTGTCGAGTATTAACACAACAGACTGTACTTGATTACCTGCTTGCCTAGAAAATTGTAGTTCTTTAAGAATCGAGTCACTTTGGGATAAATAACCCCGAAAATTCCAGAATTTTTTCTGTCTAAATTAAGAAAAAGTTGATTCCTCAATTTCGTGACCAAAATTGCAAAGAAATTTCCTCTGGAAAGAATTTTTCCTAATTTATTAAACAATTTATCAAATTTCTGACAACCTTGTCGAGTATTAAAACAACAAACTGCAATGGAGTACTTGCTTGCTTAGAAAATTGTAGTTTTTTAAGAATCGTATCACTTTGGGATAAATAATCCCGAATTTTTCCTGTCGAAATTGCGGGGAAGTCGACTCCTCAATTTTGTTACCAAGATTGCAAAAAAATTTCCCTTGTAAAAAATTCTTCCTAATTTATTAAACAATTAGTCAAGTTTCTGGCAACCTCGTCGAGTATTTCTTTAAAAATCGAATCAATTTGGGATAAATAACCCTGAAAATTCCCGAATATTTTCTGTCGAAATTACGAAAAAGTCAACTCCTCAATTTCGTGACCAAAATTGCAAAGAAATTTATTAAACAATTAGACAAATTCCTGGTAACCCTGTCGAGTATTAACACAACAGACTGTACTTGAGTACCTGCTTGCCTAGAAAATTGTATTTCTTTAAGAATCGAGTCACTTTGAGATAAATAACCCCGAAAATTCCAGAATTTTTTCTGTCTAAATTACGAAAAAGTTGACTCCTCAATTTTGTAACCAAAATTGCAAAGAAATTTCCCCTGTAAAAAATTCTTTCTAATTTATTAAACAATTAGTCAAATTTCCGGCAACCTCGTCGAGTATTTCTTTAAAAATCGAATCAATTTGGGATAAATAACACCGAAAATTCCAGAATTATTTCTGTCTAAATTACGAAAAAGTTGACTCCTCAATTTTGGTCACAAAATTGCAAAGAAATTTCCCCTGTAAAAAATTCTTTCTAATTTATTAAACAATTATTCAAATTTCTGACAACCCTGTCGAGTATTAACACACCAGACAGTATTCCTTTGAGAATCGTATCGCTTTGGGGTAACTGTCCCCGAAAATTCCCGAACCTTTTCTGTCAAAATTACGAGGAAGTCGATTCCTCAATTTCGTAACCAAAATTGCAAAGAAATTAATATTTTAGAAGATACAAAAGCACGCGCTGTTTTACGTATTAATCCGGTGGATTAAGTGAGCCCGCGTTGACACGGATGAAGAAAATTTGACGTAAAACCCGAACCGCGTTGACACGGACTTGGTCGTTAAGGGGTTAATTAAATAAGGGATGATATAGATAAAATTCTTATTTAACTGGGAAAAATGTGGATAAAAATTCGCTGGGTTAGTAAAACGATCCATAATTTCTATATTCCATAATATCCATAATTTCTCGCTCGAAGAAGGACTGGACTCTGGATTTCTTTTGTCGTGCCATACAGGTCCCTGAAAGTCGATCATCCCCCGGAGGACGTGGGGATCGGACTCGCGGAAGGTGCCGGGCCGAGCAGCGATCTCAGGAGATTAGCATTCATCCCGGAATACCGGGTGTACAATCGGGAACGCGAAATGGAGAGGCAGGAGAGGGAGAGGAAGGAGAAACAGTGGGAGGAGGATTTGAACACTGCCATGAAGGGTGCCGAGGAAAGGCTGAAGTGAGTTAAACCGCTCGTCTAATTACCGCTGTACTCCGTCGCAATTGTCGTTTCTTTTTCCCCATCGAGAGAGATGAAGGATGGAGGTAATTCTGAGGTAGTCGAGAGAAAATTTAATAAGAGGGATAAATGGGGTTTTGTGATTGAGGATGACGGTCCACGTGAGCCGTGGAGAGTAATAATCGTGGAGGGACTTTTTGTTCATCCGGCAGAATGAATTGTAATGTACTTACTCGTGACCGTGTTTAATTTTCGCTGCTGTAATTTCGTATCTGGTACACTTCGGCCACACGTGGCTCCCAGGAATCGAGCAGAATGTATTTCGATGTATGCACGTGTGTGGTACTCCGAGAATTCTCACCATGTGAAATGGGTTTGTCATAGCAGATCATACGCGAGAATTTCAGGTATAATGATTGCAGAATTTTTTGAATAAATAATATATATAGTAACTTAATATAGAGATAAGAATATAGTAACTTACGTATCTTTGTAGGTGGATATTCGGCGATCTGAAAAAGAAAATTATTTTTTTTTATTTTGATACAATAATGTATTTTAAGTATTAAATTTTTATAGTAGATAATACGCGAAAATTTCAAGTATAGTGGTTGCAGAATTTTTTAAATAAATAATATAGTGACTTGCGTTTCTTTGTAGATGGATATTCGAAGGAGATGTGAAAAAGAAAATTATTTTTTTTTATTTTGATACAATAATGTATTCAGAGTATTAAATTCTTGTAGCAGAAAATACGCGAAAATTTCAAGTATAATGGTTGTAGAATTTTTTAAATAAATAATATAGTAACTTGCGTTTCTTTGTGGATGAATATTCGAAGGAGATCTGAAAAAGAAAATTATTTTTTTTTAATTTGGATATTATACGACTTTACACGATGCATATATGCACTTCTTTAATTCGCATTTGGTACTTTTTTCGTTAACGATTTGTTCAGAGAATACGCGAGACTTCGTTACCCTGGTAACGTAACAAGAAAATCTATTTTTAATTCCGTAAATCATCGATTGAGTCGAAGAAACCTGAAAACGAGATATCTCGTCACTCGTACGTAATGTGTTAAATTCTTATAGCAGATAATACGTGGAAATGACAAGTATAATAGTTGCAGAATTTTTTGAATAAGTGATATAGTAACTTGCGTACCTTTATAGATAAATATTCAGAGATCTTTTATTTTTTGTTACTTTATATTAACATATAATTTCTTTAAATCCTGCTGGCATACTTTAATATATCGCATGCAGTTTGATATAGAACGAAAAGTCTCACAAGGAGAGTGAAAATCCTTCGGGTCGCCGATTTAGTTGAAACCTTGCAGGTTTGCAGATGTCGTCCTGCAGTTTCAGAAAATATATCATTATAGCCGTAGCTATTCAATAGTTATTGAGATATTTGCGATTAAAGTTTTGTTACTTACTGTTTATACATGTATTCCCAACTTCCTTTCTATTACGCTCTAGCGTAACGTCCAGGCTCTAGAATTACTATACCGGAGGACCGGGGTTCAATTCCCGTTCCATATTTCTACTTTTTTCAATTTATTTTTTATTTTGTACTCATTTTTCGCCTATGAAAACATTGTAAATACACAATTATAAATAAAGTTTCTTAATAAAAAAATTTATTCTTTACGCTTCCTTATGCTAGTATATATTTATTACAAAATAATAATATTATGTAAGAAAAATACTTTTCTATAGCAATCTTGTTTATTACAGGAAATACAAAACCTGTTGGACATGTAAGTATTAATTATTAAATTAAACATTCTATAAGAATGTTGCCTATAATTAAATAAAAATTTTACCGCCTGCGATCAGCGCCATCTATGATTTTAGCTCATTTGCTCGGAAAAGTGATAGGAATATAGAATAGGCAAGGAGGTCGTGGAAGAGCTCGTCACGTGACAGACAAGGACAGAGAATTGATAGAAAAGGATAGAATGGCTCCGGCTGTGAAAAATTATTAATTACTCAATTTCTGTAATTAATTTATGAACTTTTATAATTTCATTGCAAAGCTGGAACTTCAGGCTGCATTCTTATATAATATTCGTAAAGAATTTAACTCTAAATTGTTAGTTATTAATTTTTGTTTGATGGCGTCTATGATTTCGTAACGACGACCATCACCATCTTCCATGAAAATATTTAATACTCACCGAAACTAGAAACAAAATGTGAACAAAAGTGATATGAGAAGATTCGCAAGAATGTTTTCTTTATAATGAGTGCATAAAGTTTCATAAATTAATTGCGTAAAGGATAGTAATTAATGAAAAGTCAATGGCGTCTTCGACAATCTTCGACAATAATTCAAACACTGCGCAGAACAATTATTAATAGTTAATTAATTAGGGACAAATTTCTATCAAATAATATATGTGAAAGTTCTTGAAGGCTCTGGCTTTACGATGCAATTATAAAAGTTTATAAATTAATCACAGATATTGAGTAATTAGTGAATTTTCCACTGCCGATTTGATTTATCAAAATATATTCGGAGCACATAACCAGAGTTAGTAAACTGACATCAGAGCCATCCATGTTCGCGTTGCGGAACCCGAGCTTCGAGTCTAAAATCATAGATGGCTCTGATGTCAGTTTACTAACTCTGGTTATATGCTCCGAATATATTTTGATAAACCAAATCGGCAGTGGAAAATTCACTAATTACTCAATATCTGTGATTAATTTATGAACTTTTATAATTGCATCGTAAAGCCAGATCCTTCAAGAACTTTCACATATATTATTCGATAGGAATTTGTTCCTAATTAATTAATTATTAATAATTATTTTGCGCAGTGTTTGAATTATTGTCGAAGATTGTCGAAGACGCCATTGATTTTTCATTAATTACTATCCTTTACGCAATTAATTTATGAAACTTTATGCATTCATTATAAGGACAATGTTCTTGCGAATCTTCTCATATTACTTTTGTTCACATTTTGTTTCTAGTCTCGGTGAGTATTAAATATTTTCACGGAAGATCGTGATGGTCGCCGTTACGAAATCATAAACGCCATGAAACAAAAATTAATAATTAACAAGTTAGAGTTAAATTCTTTACGAATATTATATAAGAATGTAGCCTGAAGTTCCAGCTTTGCAATGAAATTATAAAAGTTCATAAATTAATTACAGAAATTGTGTAATTAATAATTTTTCACTGCCGGAGCCATTCTATCCTTTTCTCTCAACTCTCTGTCCTTGTCTGTCACGTGACGAGCTCTTCCACGACCTCCTTGCCTATTCTATATTCCTATCACTTTTCCGAGCAAATGAGCTAAAATCATAGATGGCGCTGATCACAGGCGGTAAAATTTTTATTCGAACTAGATACTAGAAATCAATACGTCGGTAGAAAATTAATAAATTTCCACGTTTTTGTAATTAATTAAATGAAGATTTCTAGCTGCACAACAAAGTTGAAATTATAGGCAACATTCTTATAGAATGTTTAATTTAATAATTAATACATACGTGAGCGATAGGTTTTGTATTTCCTGTAATAAACAAGATTGCTATAGAAAAGTATTTTTCTTACATAATATTATTATTTTGTAATAAATATATACTAGCATAAGGAAGCGTAAAGAATAAATTTTAATAAATTTTTTTATTAAGAAACTTTATTTATAATTGTGTATTTACAATGTTTTCATAGTCGAAAAATGAGTGCAAAATAAAAAATAAATTGAAAAAATTACAAATATGGAACGGGAATCGAACCCCGGTCGTTATTGACATTGAATTCTCGATCGTCAATGATTTTACATCATCTCCAACAATTCTCTAGACAATACTTTTTCTACTTTGCAGTACATTTTAATAATTTTACTTACCTCATACTTACCTTGTACTTACCTTCCCTTACTTGCAATTCCTCCCCTTACTTACCTTAATCCCTCTTCATTTAAATATCATTTAAACAGATATTGC